CACCGGGATGGGCCCTGGTAAAGCATCTGTCTTGGAAGTGGTTGTGATTTCACATGAGCCTGTGTGCTGGCCAAGTCGCCAAAAGGCTTTTTAATAGACATTACTGGCAAATGCACTCGACAAAAGCGGGGTGCTGGTGGGAGATCAGTGACACCCCCTTACAAGCGTAAAATAAGGCTTCTAAATCTTTCTGCCTGAAGCTCCTCTGAATTCAAAGGGACCAGGGGGAGGGTGGGTTGCTTGGTACTTTGAAAAAGTAACCTAATTCTTTAGGGCTTACAGAAGGGCATGACAACTTCTTCACATTGATGCACATAAGCGAACTCCTACATGAATACAAATCTTGTTCACAAAAGTAATCCCAGCAATACCAACTGCATTGGGCACAGGTATAAAAGTGCACACTCCTGTAAGTGTTTGCAGGCATGGGACCTGTTTTGGGAAATTGTTGCCAATGAGGAATTTGACACACATGACATTTCAGTGACACTGCGGCGCAACTATTCACATGCTGGGGAAAAATGGTTGAGAAAAAAAAAAAGTTGGGCTCTGTTGGTGGCCCCTTGAAAATGGCCACCTGACTCGCCCGCCCCTAAGCCCAGCTCTGGCTGAAATGACACCAAAGCCAGATTTTCTTACCACACCAATCACGCGAGCAAAGAAACAAACTAGAGTTAGCTTTTATATTCGAACTAGCAGATGTACCTGGCGTTGCTCAGAGATGTAACTCAAGAAAAGGTTGGCTGGGTTTCTTGGGGAAATAGAAGGAAAGTGCAGATGTGCGATGCAAATAGTTGCCATTTTCAAAAAGGAAGGAAAACAGTTTCTATTAATAAAAGAATGAAAGTGAATCAAACATTAGGGAAAGCTTGTTGGCAGACACTAGTTGCAGTTTTCCTGTCTTTTGCTCAAATAAAGATTTTTGGCATTTCCCGCGTGCAATGTAGCAACATACAGTTGCCATGTGCAAAGCAATCTGGTCTCAAATCCACTCCTGTAGCACAGCCTCTCCGCCCTGGGTGCAGTGGGGCAGGAGGGGAGGGAGGGAGGGAATCCCCAAGCCCATGAGGGGGGGAATACATAGGGAGGCCCTGAGAGGAGTGGCACAAAGGGAGGGAAGGGGGAATGGCATGGCCCCAGGAAGGAGGGTGAAGGAAATCCCCTGGTGAAGAAACATAGAACGGGCGGGAATCCCCACACTCGGGGTGAAATAACGGGGAAATCGCTAGGCCCCTTTGGAGCCTCACAGCGGGGGTGGGGGAATCTCCACACATCAGTGTGGGAGGGGGAGTGTGCAGGCCCCAGTAGGTGGGCGGAGGGAATCCCCAGGAACCTTGCTCGTGGAAGGAAGCCTGGCCAGTAGCATGCGGAGCCCCGTCCCCAGCTGGTCAGTCTCGTGCTGGTGTGGCTGTTCCCAGTGCTCACTCTGCAGTATCCCGTCTTCGCTCGCTGCCCCCAGTGGTGAGTGTGAGGATCACGTCCATGCTGTGGAAAACAGCCCCATTCCTGCCACTTCCCATGTTCCTGGCACAACCAACCCCTGACCTAGCTTTATGTTAGGGTAAGAGGAAGCTGCCTACCAAACTTGGTGGCCCTAAATGTTATCATTTAGGAGTTCTTGCACAGACAGCCATTTCATTTCTAAAGAAATAGGGAGACTAGACTCATAGAATCATAGAGCTGGAAGAGACCTTAGATGGCCATCAAGTCCAGCCCCCTGCTCAAGGCAGGACCAATCCCAACTAAATCAACCTGGCCAGGGCTTTCTCAAGCCGAGACTTAAACACCTCTAGGGATGGAGACTCCACTACTTCCCTAGGGAACCCATTCCAGTGCTTCACCACCCTCCTAGTGAAATAGTTTTTCCTAATATCCAACCTGGACCTCTCCCACCTCAACTTGAGACCATTGCTCCTTATTCTGCCACCTGTCATTGCTGAGAACAGCCTCTCTCCAGCCTCTTTGGAACCTCCCTTCAGGAAGTTGAAGGCTGCTATCCCATAAGAACATGAGAACATAAGAACGGCCATACTGGCTCAGACCAAAGGTCCATCTAGCCCAGTATCCTATCTTCCAACAGCAGCCAGCACCAGGTGCCCCAGAGGGGGTGGACCGAAGACAATGATCAAGTGATTTGTCTCCTGCCATCCTTCTCCAGTCTCTGACAAACAGAGGCCAGGGACACCATTTCTATCCCCTGGCTAATAGCCTTTTATGGACCTAACCTCCATGAAATTATCTAGCTTCTCTTTAAACTCTGTTATAGTCCTAGCCTTCACAGCCTCCTCTGGCAAGGAGTTCCACAGGTTGACTATGCGCTTTGTGAAGAATAACTTTCTTTTATTAGTTTTAAACCTGCTACCCATTAACTTCATTTAGTGTCCTCTAGTTCTTCTATTATGGAAACTAATAAATAACTTTTCTTTATTCACCCTTTCCACACCACTCATGATTTTATAGACCTCTATCATATCCCCCCCTCAGTCTCCTCTTTTCTAAACTGAAAACTCCCAGTCGCTTTAGCCTCTTGTCATATGGGACCCGTTCCAAACCCTTAATCATTTTAGTTGCCCTTTTCTGAAACCTTTCCAAGGCCAAAATATCTTTTTTGAGGTGAGGATTCCACCTCTGTACACAGTATTCAGGATGTGGGCGTCCCATAGTTTTATACAGGGGCAGTATAAAACTATACTCTTCTCTCCTGAAGACTAAATAGACCCAACTCCCTCCGACTAGAGGCAAGTCGGAGTTGTTCTTTGGCCAATTTCCTTTGGCAGATTTTTCCCTTGCTTGGCATAAACCTCCCTTTGCAAATTCACCACCCAGGTACCATTTTTTCACCCCTGTGGTGGTACGTTCCCATTGCTGAAGTCAGCCTCACTCCAATCAAGGCCTGACATTTGAATCCAGGGAGGAGGCCCAGTCACGGAATCCAATGTCTCTGCTAAAAGCAGAAGCTTTGTCTGCGACGTCCAAGCCTGTGTCACAAAATAAACGGCCCCTTGATGTGTGTAATTGAACGGAGAAGGGACAGAGATTTGAGTCCGTGTGTCTAACGTCTCGTTGCCAATTAGGAAATTGATTTGACTCAGTCTCACAACTTCACATAACTAATTATAAAATTCCTACTTGACTCCCTGGCCCCAGACTATTTTAGCCACCGCGTCGCGTCGAACAGTTTTCCACTTTCGACTGATTTTCAAGAGCATTCGTACATGAAACCCAGTGGAGGACCCTGTCGTTCCAATTAGCATGGACAAGCCCCATCCAACGGGGACTTAATGAGGCTGGTTTTCTATACTCCCTGGAAAAACTGGCTGGCATTATAAAGGCTGAAAGGACCGTTGGTGAGACAGCGCGGAGGTCAAAAGCGAGCACTCGGAGAGCTGATGAGCTGTGGTACGCAGACAGCTCCTTCTCCCTCAGCGACAAGCCAAAGGACATAACCGGAGCCAGCTTTTCTGAAGAGCTGAATTTCCATTCAGAGGCACATCTCAGGTGCAGGCCGGACGTTGGACTCTTTGGAGCATTTGGCCATCAGTGTCGCCCCCAGAACTGCTAACTGACTTTATTGAAGTGTCTCAATGGCAGAGGGGTTTTTTGGAAAACCCACCTGTAATGATGGGGTGCGGAGCAGGCGTGCTAAGGAAAGAGCTGGGATTTAGAGGGATGAGTGCCCGTGTCAGATGAGTGCCTTAGACCCCAGGCTGTCTGGGGTGGTCAACGCATTGGAGAGGGTCCAGAGGAGGGTGACCAAAATGATTAGGGGGCTGGAGCGCATGACCTATGAGGAGAGACTGAGGGAGTTGGGTCTGTTTAGTCTGCAGAAGAGAAGAGTGAGGGGGGATTTGAGAGCAGCCTGCAACTTCCTGAAGGGAGGTTCCAAAGAGGATGGAGAGAGGCTGTTCTCAGTAGTGACAGATGGCAGAACAAGGAGCAATGGGCTCAAGTTACAGTGGGGGAGATCTAGGTTGGATAGTAGGAAAAACTATTTCACTAGGAGGCTGGTGAAGCACTGGGATGGGTTCCCTAGAAAGGGGGTGGAATCTCTATTCCTAGAGGTTTTTAAGTCCCGGCTTGACAAAGCCCTGGCTGGGTTGTTTTAATTGGGGTTGGTCCTGCTTTGGGCAGGGGGCCGGACTCACTGACCGCCTGAGGTCTGTTCCTGCCCTGTGATTCTATGACCGACATTGGGAAATGCAGCCTGGCAGGCTGGGCCTCTGCGGGGAAGGATAAAGCTGGAGTTTAGCAGGGAGGGGTGAGTGGTTGTTCTGGGAGAGGCCGGGTTAATTTGTCCTCGCTGGTGGCAGGAAGGTGGGGATTAAATTAAAAGCTGGACACACAAATGCTTCCTGGGGGTGAGGCTATTGGCTTCAGGGAGGTATGGAATACTGGATGGGGGGAAATTGCTTAGGACTAGGAGGTTTGTACTAGAGTTGGGGCAAACTACACAAACAAACAGAAACAACAGGCAGCATGAATTTTAAATAACTGTATTATTACTCACATAAACCACACACAGAGAAAAGCTTTATCTAAGACGGCCCCCCTTGCTGGAGAATCACAATCTTTACTGTAGCTAGGCTCACACCACCTCAGGGAGGCAGAGAAATATTGTTAACCCCCATTTGCTGACATGTCAAGTGGCATGCCCAAGGGCGCACAGGAAGTCTGTGGCAAAGCAGGAAATGGAACCCGGGTTTCCTGAGCGCCCAGCTAACATCCAAACCACTGGCCCATCCTTCTCTCTTATGTCCCTGAGTCCATAGCAGCTGTTCTGCTCTATCACTCACTGTTCTTGGTGACAGCCAATGGCCATAAGCTCCCAGAATATCTGAACAGCAAGTATCAAGAGATGTCACCAAATTCGCAATAGCGATATAAAATAAACCTAGAGCAAGAACGGAAAGACAGGGGCAAGACCAATCTTGATATGGAATCCAATGCCAGTTTTACATGTTTACCAGGTTGTTAATAACAAAATAAATACAAACAAATTGTTTAGAAAAATGTCATTTTTTAAAACACCACAATATCCCTTTAACAGATGGCATTTATGTGACTATCTTGGCAACTTGCATTGGAGCCGTCTGAGCCTACATCTGTACTTGCCTCTGCGTTGTCAGCACCGCTTTCGTCTTTGGCAAAGTTGATGAAAACCTGAAAGTTGAAAGGAAAATATTTGCTATGTGATAAAACAAAACAAAAAGTTAAAATGGACAAAAATGCCATTTTCCCCCCTACGGATCACAGCCCTGGGAAGGAGGCAGGGAGGAATTTTGTGTGTGGGAGGCGATTTCCAAAAGAAGTCTAAGAGAGCTAGTTGACAAATGCGAGTGGGGTATTTGTATATCTTGGGTTGCTTTGAAAAGCCCACCTTGAATGTGTATTTTATATATACACACCACACATGGATATCTACCTGCATAACTACCTATATGTTTGTGTGTACACACACAATCCTGCACATATTTGTGTGTACACACACATACGCCTACATTTTCATCCACACACCCCTATTATTCACATCAACACACACACTTCACTATCGGAAAAGCAGGCAGGATTTCAGAGTAATAGTTATGCTCCCAGTTGCAATCGCTTGGCACTACTTTGGTGCTATAAAGGGGCTGCGCAGCTTCCCTATAAGAGCAATTGAGGATTTCCTTGTTGCAGGAACGTCCCCAGGCGGCAAAAAAAACAAGATAGCTCCACTGCACCCACGTTTAGTCCTTGTGTGGGTGGTCCCTTTGGGGCATGGTTGCAGAGCCTAGAGCTCCAGCTATTCCCTGCCAATTGAAATGGTCCTACCAGGCATAACGTAAGGTGGCCCTTAAACTTGGGTTCTTCCTATGATATTTTTATATCGGTGCAAAAAACTGTGCAGTAGAAATGGAGGAAACCTAACTAGGGCGGCATGTTACCAATAATAATAAATACAATGAGAATTAGAACAGAATCTAGAAGCTCAACTCAGATTGGAGCCTCGTATAGCTTCACGGAAGTCCACGGAGCTGTGGCAACCTACCTCAGATGAAGAGCTCATTCATGCTAAAAAACAGAGAGGCCGTAGAGAGCTGGCAATCGAAATAGAGACGCAAAAGCCGAGAGAAAGGAATGTCATCATGGAATCATAGAATCATAGAATACTAGGACTGGAAGGGATCTCGAGAGGTCATCGAGTCCAGTCTCCTGCCCTCATGGTAGGACCAAATACTGTCTAGACCATCCCTGATAGACATTTATCTAACTTGCTCTTCAATATCTCCAGAGATGGGGATTCCACAACCTCCCTGGGCAATTTATTCCAGTGTTTGACCACCCTGACAGTTAGGAACTTTTTCCTAATGTCCAACCTCAACCTCCCTTGCTGCAGTTTAAGCCCATTCTTTCTTGTTCTATTCTCAGAGGCCAAAATGAACAAGTTTTCTCCCTCCTCCTTATGACACCCTTTTAGATATCTGAAAACTGCTATCATGTCCTCCCTCAATCTTCTCTTTTCTAAACTAAACAAACCTAATCCCTTCAGCCTTCCCTCATAGGTCATGTTCTCTAGACTGTTAAACATTCTTGTGGCTCTTCTCTGGACCCTCTCCAATTTCTCCACATCTTTCTTGAAATGCGGTGCCCAGAACTGGACACAATACTCCAACTGAGGCCTAACCAGCGCAGAATAGAGTGGAAGAATGACTTCTCGTGTCTTGCTCACAACACACCTGTTAATGCATCCCAGAATCATGTTTGCTTTCTTTGCAACAGCATCACACTGCTGACTCATATTCAGCTTGTGGTCCACTATGACCCCTAGATCCTATTCTGCCGTACTCCTTCCCAGACAGTCGCTTCCCATTCTGTATGTGTGAAACTGATTGTTCCTTCCTAAGTGGAGCACTTTGCATTTGTCTTTATTAAACTTCATCCTATTTACCTCAGACCATTTCTCCAACCCATCACATAGCCTAATAAGTTTGTTAGTCTTTAAATGGACTACTTGTTTTAAACCTGACAATATATTTCAGGAAAAACAAGTAAACACAGACACCTCTATGAAACCTCCTACTAGTGGTAGTAGAGAGATATCCGTTCACTACATTAAATGCAATACAACAACTTTACTTCATTTGAATACTGAGAGGACTTTTCCCTTACAAAAATTACATTTTGAAAATTAATTCCTTAAAATTATGCATATTCCCCCTTTTTGCAGGGATGGGGAGCTAATTTGCATTTGGGTATTTGTGCCCTATTAATCCCAAGACTGATAGATCTCTCTCACCGACTTCATTTCCAAAGCTTAGAGAGCTTTTTTAAAGGACAATTTGTATTTCAAAGTGTTCAACTCTTTATCTCAAGAACATAAGTTATGAATGTAATTCCTTCAGCAAAGAAAAAAATGTGATGGAAAAGATCCTTAGATTCCAGAGCATTCCATAAATTGCTACAATTACATAAGTGTAGAAAGAATACCTTCACTTTAACTCTACCTTTATAGCTAATACATATAGTGGTTTGTTATGATTAAAGTATATATACACACATTTTGGAACTGCAAAACTACTATTAGTTTTCCTCAAATAACTGCAACTTTTTTCAATTTGATATTCAGAAATGTGTTTCATATTGCATCAGACCTGCATAGTACACACAAAGCTAAAAAACAGGAGCCAAAATGTCTCAACAGTACCCCTGAAACCTATTCAAAATGGGGAACAAAGTAGAGATTTTGCGCAAAAGTGCCTGCTTTTGCGCAAAATCATGCCAGTCTAGACGCAGCCCAAGTGTTTACAGATGATTTCCTTAATTACTTGCTCCATTATCTTTCCTGGCACAGAAGTTAAACTAACTGGTTTGTAGTTTCCTGGGTTGTTCTTATTTCCCTTTGTATAGATGGGCACTATATTTGCCCTTTTCCAGTCCTCTGGAATCTCTCCTGTCTCCCATGATTTTCCAAAGATGACAGCTAGAGGCTCAGATACCTCCTCTATCAGCTCCTTGAGTATTCTAGGATGCATTTCATCAGGCCCTGGTGACTTGCAGGCATCTAACTTTTCTAGGTGATTTTTAACTTGTTCTTTTTTTATTTTACTTTCTAAAACTACCCCCTTCCCACTAGCATTCACTATATTAGGCATTCCTACAGACTTCTCGGTGAAGATCGAAACAAAGAAGTCATTGAGCATCTCTGCCATTTCCAAGTTTCCTGTAACTGTTTCTCCCTCCTCACTGACCAGTGGGCCTACCCTCTCCTTGGTCCTCCTCTTGCTTCTAATGTATTTATAAAAAGTCTTATTGTTTCCCTTTATTCCCGTAGCTAGTTTGAGCTCATTTTGTGCCTTTGCCTTTCTAATCTTGCTGCTTTATTCCTGTGCTGTTTGCCTATATTCATCCTTTGTAATTTGTCCTACTTTCAATTTTTTATATGACTCCTTTTTTATTTTAGATCATGCAAGATCTCGTGGGTAAGCCAAGGTGGTCTTTTGCCATATTTTCTATCTTTCCGACACATTGGAATAGCTTGCTTTTGGGCCCTTAACAATCGTCCCGTTTTACAGCTAGGGAGTGAGGCACAGAGACTACGTCTAGACTGCAAGCCTCTTGCAAGATACTTTCGAAAAAGCCTCTTTCGAAAAAGAGTGTCTAGACTACAACCAGTACTTCCGAAGAAGCAAGCCGCTTTTTCGAAAGAGCGCGCCCAGGCAGTCTGGATGCTCTCTTTCGAAAAAGGACAGTTTGCATTACATAGCGCCTTTTTTCGAAAGAGCACTTTCAAAAAAAGGCGTTATTCCTCATAAAATGAGGTTTTCCGCGGTTGAAAAACCTGCCATGTTCTTTCGATTTACTTTCAAAAGAACGCGGCAGCAGTCTAGACACAGGGGAAGTTTTTCTCGAAAAAACCCTGTAATCTAGACACACCCAGAGAGTGAATAACTTCAGGAAGGTCTCACAGGAACTCAACGTCACAGCTCCCGCCTGACAACCCTTCGCCACACGACCAACCTTCGTCTCTGAAAACTGTGGGTTGAAATGGCTGCCTACATTGACCCCCACGCAGCCCCACTGAAATCACCAGGCCAGCAGCAGCATGACCACAGACCAACAACTATTTGTACCACACAGCTGTGCTTGTGTGTGCACCCAAAAGGAGAACAGCTTGGAACCCCTTTCAACGGGTGCTCCAATGTGTCTGATAATCGGTTCCTGTCCGGTGCAGACACTGAATTTCTTACCTCCTCTAGAGTGGTTTGACTCACTGAGAAGTGCCTGATTTTGAAGGCCATTTTGTTGGTTTCCAGAAGATCGAATATGTTTGCTACTCCTCCTGCTGAGACTGGCACGTGGTATTCCACCGTGTTGAGATGCCGGTCCTGTCGGAACAAGCGCAGAGGAACAACGTCAAGGTGTACAAGGTAAATAGGTCCCGGCTGGTCCTACGGCTGAGGTGCAGTATAAAAAGGAAGGGGAAATTGAACTAAGGGGGAGGATGAAAAGTCTCTGAGGGGTCGTCGGGTTAGTCTGTAACCTTAAAAACAACGAGGAATCCTGTGGCACCTTAGAGACTAAACAATATAGAGGAACATGAGCTTTCGTGGGCAAAACCCACGTCATTAGACTCATTAGCTGAGGTCCACAAAAGCTCATGCTCCTCCATAGTTTTGTTAGCCTCTAAGGGCCACAGGACTCCTGGTTGTTTTTTAAAGGGCCAGATGCATCTTCTCCCTTTCTGACTGACTCCGGTGAGAAAACTCCTCAGGCAAGGATTGCCGAGTGTGTTTCCCGTGAGTTGCTTTAGGTTTGCGGTGCTCTGTGGGGGTAAGTACACAAGCACTGAGGAACAGGCTTTAGGAAGATAGGGCATGTGCTTCACTTCCCATATCCTGGCTTGACGTGCGTGTCACTTTAGTAACACTGGCAGGGACAAAAACCCCAATGAGGATGGAAACCAGCAGAATCTGGCAACCCTGCGCGTGGGCCGCTGTCACAAAACGTCTCGTGCACCACACACAGAACCCCAATGGGCCGGGCCTCAGATCACCCACCACTGCGCTGGCTGGTCCGTTCTGTAATGCTGGCTAGCCCCACTGAAGAGTGGGAATCCCGCAGAAAACATTTCTTGCCTGGGAAATAGTGCAGTGCAACAAATGTCAGGTGTTTTCTGGACTCCCAACTGAAATGTCTATTACCTTAGGCTCTCGGAGAAGACTACAGCCTAGGATCTTTAGGGAACATGTGGTGTTTCCAGTGGGGAAGCACTGGGATGGGCTCCCTAGGAGGGGGTGGAATCTCCATCCCTAGACATTTTTAAGTCCCGGCTTGACAAAGCCCTGGCTGGGATGAATTAATTGGGATGGATCCTGCTTTGGGCAGGGGGCTGGATTCGATGACTCCAGAGGTCTCTTCCAGCCCTAGGAGTCTATGATTTCCCATTGGTAGTTGGATGGATGACTTTGAAAGTTGGGGTTAAGCTAGCAGATTGGCTTGTCCTCATTCAGCACGGTGTTACTCCACCTCGATGCTAACACAGTTTTATTGCCAGAGGTACTCAAGAATCCCAGCTCCCTCTGAAAACAAAAGGAGCTAGACAACTACAGCTTTCTGTAGCACGGATGTCAATGGGACTACTCAAGTGAGCAGGAGGGTGCTGGATTGGACTATCTTGCATGCTCACTGTCACCATTTGGCTGTGTTTTTAAGCCACCTAGGAAATCTGGCTACTCTAGTGCTATTAAGATTAATTGGACCTCGGTGCCCAACTCCCTTGGGCAGTTTGGTAAATCAGAGCCTGGCTCCTGCTTTGAAAGAGGGATCTGGGTGTGCCGTTCCCTTGTGCTTTGAGAACGTAACCAGCTCTTGCTGAAGCCAGAGGACGGGATTCTGCTCTCCGTTCCTCCGGCAGCGGGTCTGACCTCTCCTGCTCACCTTCAGGCATGTGTTTGGAAAGTGTGACTGCATTAACTCCGTCAGAGCCTCCGTGCTGACCGCACTGCTCATCAGGTGCATCTTCACCGTGAAGCCTCTTCCAAACCTAGATGGAAAATCACAACACTTGTTCCACAGCAGATTCAGAACAAAACACGAGAGCGTTTGCTAGAAGCACTCGTGAAACAAATCCAGGCCCAGTATAACTCCGGTGAGAACAATGACTGAGAATGGACTGAGGTCATACTTTGGAGAAACTATGGAGTGAGGCCATGCTATGGAGAAACTATGGACAGCAGTCTAGTCTGAGTGATAATTGATGAACATCATGGTTCATCACTATTGTATGTCTTTACGTTCTGTATTAAAGTTGACACAGTTATTGAGTCATCTACGTAGAGGAACATGCCTCTCAAACACCGAACAAAAGAACTATGGAGAAACTATGGAGCGAGGCCACGCTATGGAGAAACTATGGAGAGAGGCCATGCTATGGAGAAACTATGGAGTGAGGCCATGCCATGGAGAAACTATGGAGTGAGGCCATACTATGGAGAAATCTGGATCAGCAGTCTAGTCTGAGTGATAATTGATGAACATCATGGTTCATCACTATTGTATGTCTTTACGTTCTGTATTAAAGTTGACACAGTTATTGAGTCATCTACGTAGAGGAACATGCCTCTCAAACACCGAACAAAAGCTTCCCGGGGTAGAAAATGCACTGAGAGAGCTGGCTAAGAATTTCTTATTTTTTTTTCCATTGGCAAGTGCTGATTTGTAGGAAGCACTCAGGTCCCGGGTTGGTGGGACTGTGAGATCCCAACCAACCCCAGAAAAGTCACGCGGCTGGAGCAGTCACATGGGACATGGGTGACTCTGTTTCAATTCCCTGATTGACCTGGTGTGGAACAGGCCCTTGAAGTTGACCACAAGTGAGTATGCTGAGTGTGGGCTAGTGGGGGACGAGTCTCTCAGAAATGAGGAAAATCTTGGCTTTAGTCCTGCTGGAATGGACACCCAAACAGAAGGACCCCAAACAGAACTCCTGTTTTCCAGCTAGCACCCTTTATCTATCACCAGTTCTCTGAAACAAAAGACAAAAAGCTTTCAGTGATGCCCATGGGTTGATCACTGCACCTTGAGTACACACAGCTAGGTCCTCAGCGTGTCTCAGTTGCCTTCCATGGAGCTCCACTGATTTACCATCACAGGGCATGTGGTGCTCACTGTGGTAGAGGGGATGTGTGGAAGATACATTTTACTGACCTGCTCTTAATATGCTGCAAAGAGCCAAGGCACTGGAAACGCCCATTCACCATAATCGCCAGCCTGGTACAGAGAGCTTCACATTCTTCCATGCTGAAAAGCAAGCAGAGAAATTCTGTAGGGCCATCGAATGGCAGTGCAAGAACCTCTACTGGCCAGAGATTGGATGGTTTCCCATGAGTTTGTCAGGCAGTTGACCGGGAATGATTCATCTTAATCACCTGACCCAATCTTTAGCTGGCTCTTCTTGCACTACTACTGAAAAGGCCCCGTTCCTCAAAGATATGTAAGGGAGTTAAGTGCCTACATGCTTTTGAGGGTCTGGGCCAAGGACCCAGTCCATGGAGAGCTATCACACATGTCCAGGAGGTGTTTGGCCCTTTCTGGAGGATTTTCCTGGATTTTCTCATTCCATGTGGATGTTACCACAGATGGCCTTATGCAGCACCCTCCAGATCCAGAGAAGTTGGCTGCGGCGGTGAGTCGGGGTTGGGATTCTGAAAGGGTTTACATTCTGGTGCCTGTGAGTTCTAGAGTGTTCCAGTGTGCAGTGTTAGGCCAGGTTTACACTCGGGGAGAGAGTCAACCCAAGATATGCAATAGCAGCCACGTGACTGGAGTGGATGTAACTTAGATCGAATTTCCACTGCAACCCAACTGTGGGGACTTGACAGGAGAAAGTCTCCTATTAACTTCCCTTACTCCTCATAACTTGGTGCAGTGACGGAATCAACGGGGCGCCATCAGTGATTGATTTAGCGGGTCCTTACTAGACCTGCTAAATTGAGCCCCGGGAGAGTGATCGCTGCAGGACTGAGCTCCTGGTAAGTGGAGACAAGCCTTTAGTTTGAGCATAATAACACAAAGGCAGACAGTACATTCTACCTGTGAGAAGTGAGGATTACTGAACATTGGTTCTGTACTTCCTCGGTGATGATTTTCCAAAGGTGTCGTTTAGCATTAGGATCCATTCCAGAGCTTGGTTCATCCTATAAAATAATAAAAAAAAAGATTGTAAGTTTAAAGAGTAAATAAAATGTAATTTCTATTCCTCTCTGTATCAGCTCTGTTTAGAATCATCATTAAAGACGCTACAAATACTAATACAACTACTTAGCTCTTATATGGAGTTTCTGTCTGTGTTATCAGTATTATTTATTTGTATGATGATAGTGCCTAAGGTGGGACCCCCTTGTGCTGGGCGTTGTATAAAACAGATATTAAGAGAAAGTCTCTTCCACGAAGAGCTTACGAGCCAAACAGACAAGACAGCCAGAGAAGCTTACAGCAGAGACGTGACTTCTCCAAATTCACACAGCAGGTCGGCGTCAGAGCCCGTGTCTCCTGAATCCCAGCCCAGTGCCCTCTTCACTGCTCAGGGCTGTAGCGGAACATTAAACTCATATATAACCACTCAGGCTCTCTAGAGGAATCGGAAGCCTGGTGCCCATTAATTTTAAATCAAATCATTTGCAAGCTTCAGCCTTAGCTTTCCAAGGGCTGACTCTGAGGTTCCACAGATAAACATCCCTCCGTGTAGCTACCGTAGCAGCCCGAGAGCAGGGGGCTGCAGAAGCCAAGTGAAAGGCAGATACGGGGGAGTTGGGTATCTGGGTTTATGTTCCCTGAGGAGGCGGCCCTGCCCTTAGGACACCTGAAGCCCATCTGCAGACAGCCTGGAGGAAGGCTGATTAGAACACCTGCCGCCAGTTAAGGCTTATGGGCACCCTATAAAAACCTTCCCTCGGGCATGGCAGGGGAAGAAGAAAAGGGACGGACCAGAAGAGAGGAGGAGAGAGACTGAGCAGAAGACAAACCCAGAAGGCAGCAGCTAACCGGGCCTGTTCCAAGACACCAGGGAGTCAGTACCCAGGGAGTGGTTGGGGAAGTGACCCAGAGAGGGGCCGCTATTCAGTGGGGCAAGGACCAAGCCTCACAGCCGCACTCGGGGCTACCCCATAGGGCCCTGGCCCAGAACCCGGAGCAGGTGGGTGGGACCAGGTTTCCCCCACCCCTCCTCCTGGCTGGTGAGCTGCCAGTAAGGAAAAGGGGGACCCTTGGACTATCGGAGGGACTGACCTCCAAAACCCTGGACTGGCCAATGATGAAAAAGGCTCTTGGAGTCTCGGCAGTGGTAGGGACACCACGAGTCTCTGAGGCGCATGCAAAGACCCTACCAGGAAGTGCAGGACCCAGGGGACTTAGCCCAGACTTGCCACAATATCTATTTCACACTTCCCTAAATGAAAGCTTCTTAATCCATTGTAGCTCTGAGCCACACATGGGCTAATAACAGAACAGCCCTTTGTCTCCAGACCGACCCGCCTTCTGAGTAATATCTGCCTCATTTACGGGCAAAACAAGCTGTCGAGCTTCAGAATCCCATGGACAATACGCCACAGAGGAGTTACGATACGTGGCGCCCCACCTCATTCATCATCAACAAAGTTCTCAGCCAGCTGCCCATCATGGAATTGTTATCATGGGGGGAACAATGTGCTCGACGAAGCAGAAAGAAAACAGCTTTGTTCTTTGGAAAGCAGCTTGCGCTCAGACAATCTCCTTGTCTCCGCTTCTGTGGCGCTTGTAGGCGCAGACAGAAAAGCAAAGGAATTATGCAAAAGGAGGGGTGGCTCTTCTGTACATCAAAGCTGTGTGCATCTGGCCCAGTGTCTGGCATAGGGATTGCTCAGGAGTGCAGAATTTAAAACCCCCGGTCCCAGGGCAGTCTGGGACGTTGGAGGGTTCGTTTCTGTCTTTTAAACAATGCATGTTGCATGTGGTATCACCGATGCGAGCACCCGACTTTTCCTGGGGGAACTCAACCCCCGCTCTGCTGCAGGCTCTTATTTTCTAGCCCTTACTTAGTGATCCCTAACATCCGGTTGGCTTTTTTGACTGCCGCGGCACACGGCGTGGATGTTTTCAGAGAACTCTCCACAAGGACTCCAAGATTTCTCTCGAGTGGTGACAGCTAATTTAGACCCCAACATTTTATATGTATAGCTGGGATTATGTCTTCTCAATACACAATGCTCTGCATTTGTCAACATTGAGTTTCATCCACCATTTTGTTGCCTAGTCACCCCATTTAGTGAGTTCCTCTTGTAGCTCTTCATAGTCTGCCTAGGACTTAACTATTTTGAGGAGTTTTGTGTCATCTTCAACTCTCTGGGTATGTCTCGACTGCATCCCTCTGTCGGCAGAGGGATGCAGATTAGGCAGGTCAACATTGCAAATGAGGCAGGGATTTAAATATTGCGCGCTTAATTTGCATAAAAATGGCCACCGCGTTTTGCCGACTCAACACTTTGTCGGCAAAAAGCGGCCATCTAGAGGGGGATCTGTCAAGAAAGAAAGCCTTTTTCAACAGATCCTGTAAACCTCCTTGAAGCCCAGGAATCAGGCTGGTTGCCTTAACAACCATGAGGTAGAAAAGACAGAGGCTATTTGCTGTGATTGAATCCTGAAGGGCAAGGTGAGGTTTGTTGAGGACAGCAGAATACGAGGCCAATAGTGGCAGCAGAAGGGCCAGAGAAAAACCAGCTCCTTAAGCTGTGTGGGGTTCATTTAAACACTGGCCGCTTACGGATGCTGTGGCAATCAAACTTGGAGTGCTGGGGTTGTCCCTTGGGCCACGTCTACACCAGGAGTTTATTTCAAATTTACTAAGTTCAGCTTCTGGGCACCTGATTTTACAAAGTCGAACTTCCGTGTCCTCACTGCAAGGAAGAATTGAATGTAGTCTGAGGCAGGCTCTGTTAAAGTGGAAGCATTACCTCAGACTCAGAGCCCCAAGAAGCACTGTGGGGAGCTGTGCGAGCGGCCAATTAGTTCAAAACAGCAGCACCGGAGCATCCCCACTAACGTTATTTCGGATGTACAAGTTCAGAATTCATAGGATCATAGAGCTGGAAGAGACCTCAGGAGGTCAAGTGCAGCCCCCCGCCCAAGGCAGGACCAACCCCAACTAAATTACCATCACTCCTCATGAAAAACAGGAGTACAGAGTTCGAATTCTGCACCCCCTTATTCTGGAATAACGAGCTTGGTAGTGCAGACACATCAAATCGACCGGGGTGTGTGTGTTATTTTGTACTAAGGTTCTAGTAGAGACCAGGCTTTGGAGAGCTTCAAGTTGAGGAACAAGACTAAGAAACCTGAGCTGTGATTTTGGATGTGTATGTATGGGATGCTGCATGTGCCCACCTCTCCCAGAGTGACTAAAACTTGTGTGTAACCCAGGAGCTCCTGGGACTCCTACATCAATGCCAAACCTACTGCCACAGGCTGCTCAAAGAGAACATGAGGCTACTTCAGAACAAACCTCCACTATCTTGTAAGAAGAAAACGTTAAGTTATGTTAGATAAAACAGTTGAATATTGCCTGTATGTGGCAAGAGAGCTACACTTTCTAGACCATATCTTAGAGGGACACTGGTTCTGGTTTTCACCCCATAGTGGCATGGGGCCACTGATATAGGCTATCTGCTCCTTTTGCTCCTTCTTGCTGTATCATGGAGAGCGCGGTCTCATCTTGCATCTGATATGGAAGTTGTAGAGAGACAATACGTATGGAACATGTGATGGTATTTTCTGTTCCTTTCCCTTTATGAGTAATAGGCAGACACAATAAAACATCTGTGAAGAAGCCCTCAGGCAGTGCCTCTGGATTTCTCTAGAATACTTCCTACAGTTCGAGCATCCACATTTGAAAAAGGCTACTGGGAAAATTGGAGAAGGTGCAGCAAAGGGCCACAAAATAATTTACAAAAATGAACACCTTAGTGTGAGAGACTTAAAAAGTTCCATCTGTGTAGCTTAACAAAAAGAAGACTGAGAGGTCACTAGATTACAACGTATAAGTACCCTTCTGAGGAGCGTATAGTGGGAATTAAGGTGCTCATTAATCTCGCTGAGAAAGGCCTCACGAGAACCAAGGGCTGGAAGGGAAAAACCAGATATATTCAAATTAGAAAGAAGGCACCATTTTTTCTGTGAGCCTGATTAGCCATTGGAACAAATTACCAAGGGAAGTGATGGATTTTCCATGTCTTGGAGCCTTCAAATGAAGACTCAACACCTTTCCAGAAGAAATGCTTTAGTCAGACACAATGTATTGGGCTCTGTATGGGGGTGAAATCCTATAGCGTGTGTTACACGAGTTGACCTGTGACCTCTGATCTGATCCTATAAAGGCTGTGAGGATAGATGGACAGACAGACAGGCAGACAATAAAATTGCTTTTAGTAGCTATGAGTGACGCCAACATAACCAAAAGGCAAGTAAGGGAATGTACAAGTATTAATATTAAGCAATAAATTGAGGTCTAGCTGTGATACATTTGTTAGCATAAGAAGCATAAGACTTAGCATAAATAAGGGACCTAGGGTTATAAGATTTAGCAACGTGTGCTTTTGAATACACAATTGCACAGCAAAGAACACATTAATTGAATACTAATAAACTTCTAGGGGATTCTTAAGTATGTGAAACCATGAGGTCAACCTCATTAACATATCGGAAACCCTGGGAAATGTATTGATGCAAAAAAACCTAACAACAATCAGAACACCAATTCCGGTTTCCTGGGCAACTGTAGCATGAAAGCCAGAAAACCACCTAACGACGGTAATGGGACATGCTTGATTGTTCAGGGGAAGAAGGACTGGTGTAATAAGGTGTAAATCCATCCTTTCGCTGGGCTCATCGGAATGACAGCGTGACAGCGAAAACCGTCACCACTGCCTTAGGATGACTTCCACTTACGTTTCTTTCCATCGGCACTTCTAATGGCCTCCAGAAGGTTGTGAGTATGTACAATGCAGGAAAGCACTTTGCTGTACTTCCCTTACGCACGCGGATGTTTCTGTTCTTTCAATGAGATTTGTCTGTGCTCCCTGAAGTCCACGGTTTCTGCTTGCGCCTCACCAGCCTTCAACTCTGTGAAATTTCTGACCTCACTGCATAGTAAAAAACCCGACTGGTGCAATTTGCACCCTACTCTTATCCCAGGCTGCAGGCAGGTGGTCAGAGGAGATGATATAGTGGTCCCTGCTGGCCTTAAAAGCTACAAATCTTTACATCACAAAACTTCTGATTTCTTACCAGCAGTAGAATCGACGGGTTCCCGACGAGGGCCAGTGCGGTCGATAACTTCCTATTAGTGCCATAGCTGCACATGGAGGTGACTCTGTCTTTGTATGGCATCAGATTAAGTCTATGAAGAAGCTGAAGTGCGATCTGTGGGTACAATGAATAATACAAACATTTGATTTGCACTGAGAATTAGAGCAACCAGAGAATAGCTGGAACAAGCATGTCTTTGCCAATGAATCAGCACCCAGCTCCTCAACGGGTGCAAATCAGTGTAGCTGCAATGTCTTCCACAGAGCTACGCCGATTTACATCAGGTAGGACTGTAACCCTTGGTTCCCAGCAGTTCAGATACTATCATTGAATGTCCTTTGAAATAGCATGTTGCTGCCAGGTAAGGTGTTGCTCCAAAGGAGTCTTTGAAGTGTGGGGACTCTCTTGAAATACACAGGAGTTTAACAATGTCACAAAGACCCCTGGGGAGAGATCCATTAAGGACACAGCCTTTACGAGCCCCGTTTTACAAATTCCAGCTTCACCCGTTCGCTTAGTAAACATCTGCCACCAAAGTCAACGGGAGTATTTGCACGGATGTCCATGGGGATAGTTTTAACAGGATGGCTCCAGGCATGTATATCATGCCTAGTATCTGATGTTTGCGGTATCAGCCCCTTCCTTATTTGTAGTCGTTCCATACAATAGAATCAGAGAACCCTAGGGCTGGAAGAGACCTCAGGAGTCATTAAGTCCAGCCCTTGACCAAAGCAGAACCAACCCCAACTCAATCATCCCAACCAAGGCTTTGTCAAGCCGGGACTTGAAAACCTGTAGAGATTCCACCCCCTCCCTAGGGAACCCATTCCAGTGCTTCACCACCCTCCTAGGAAAATAGTTTTTCCTAATATCCAACCTAGCCCTGCAACTTAGTTTTCCTTGTTCTGTCGTCTGTCACTATTGAGAAGAGCCTCTCTCCATCCTCTTTGAAACCCCCCGCTTCAAGCAGTTAAAGGATACTATCAAATCCCCCCTCACTTTTCTCTTCTGTAGATTAATTAAGCCAAATCCCTCAGCCTCTCTATGACTCCATGTTACAAAAACAATCAAGTCCTGGGACCATCCCACATTCATCTAGGCCTGGGATAGGCAATAAGCAGCCCACAGGCGAGACACGGTTTGCCAGGATTAACTCCCAGTGGCTGGCCAGATGCTTCACCTACCTGCGTGTCCTCCAGTATGGCCTCTTGCAGCTCCCATTGGCTGCAAATCACTCTTTCAGGCCAGTGGGAGCTGCAGGAAGTGGTGCCCTGTTCTACTTACTGCCCACCCCAGAAAGGCAGGGAATCCCAGGTTGGAAATCCCTTATTGTCACCTTCCTCATTGTTTATTATGACACAAAATGGTCTAAATCAAGACAACGAACTTTAATGGAAGGACTCACTGACTCGACTGGGCTCGAATGGAACTCTTTGGTCATACAGGTCTACTCACTCCTTTAATCTGTTTCTCTGGGATGCCGTGTAGCCGAGCGTAGAAGTACATGTGCTCTTCCACCGTCAGCAAGTCATCCAAGGCATCTTCTTGAGGGCAGTAGCCAAACAGTGACCAGTGGGTGTCATCAATGTCACTCAGGGACCTGGATCAGGAAAGGAGGAAAGGGTCATTTCATAAACACGACAGAACAAATCTGCTCTGGGCTCTTTGAAACAGGAGTGAAAGGGGGAAATGTTTGCCTAGCTGAAGGAGGGATGCTCTTAGCTCATGATACGTAAGCCTGTCTCAGTTCCTAGAAGGAAGGAGCATGTGTCTATGGCCCAGTTACTCACACTGAGTAGTACCTCACTCTGTTTGTCCAGTGATTTTGATGGACCAGTTTCCAGTGGCCAGACTCATGTTCAGTAGCTCTTTGCTCCATTATCAGACCCACTGGTTTAAATGGAACCAGAGGATTGTGGATAGACTCAGGTTCTTAATGACTCAGGTCTACACGACCTCTGAAACCTATCTAACTTGTGCTGCTCAGGGGTGTGTGTGTGTGAAAAAGACACCCCTCCCCCGAGCAACAGAAGTTACAGCGACCTACGTACCATCCGCACCATCGGTGGAAGATGCTTTCCTGGTAACAAAGCTTTACCTCTCACAGAGGACTAATAATGGCCCGCCAACAGCATAGCATGTCTTCAGTGGACACGCTACACCCAGGCAGCACGTCTAGTGTCAATCTGACAGTGAGATTCTGATCACACAAGAGAAATAAACCCAGGAGAAACTCCACTGACATCAGGGCGGGATGTGATAGAGGTCTATAAAATCATGACTGGTGTGGAAAAAGCAAATAAGGGAAAGTTATTAGCATACTCACATAATATAAGAACTAGGGGTCACCAAATGAAATGAATAGGCAGCGGGTTTAAAACAAACAAAAGGAAGTTTTTCTTCACTCAGTGCACAGTCAACTTGTGGAACTCCTTGCCAGAGGATGTGGTGAAGACTAAGACTTTAACAGGGATCAAAAAAGAGCTAGATAGATTCATTGAGGTTAGGTCCATCAATGGCTATTAGCAAGGAAGGGTAGGAATAGTGTCCCTAGCATCTGTTTCTCTGGAAATGGGTGACAGGGGAGGGATCGCATGAGGATTACCTGTTGTGTTCCCTCCCTCTGGGGCATCTGGTATTGGCCACTGTCGGCAGACAGGACACTGAGCTAGATGGACCTTTGGTCTGACCCAGTGTGGTCATTTTTATGAGTTTGTACCCAGCACTAAACTTTGCCAGTGAAATGAAACTCAATACCTTGAGGATGTAATTATAATATTTTTCAAAGGTGGAATTATCTGCTTTCTGTGCATGCACACGCGCTCTCTTTTTAAGTTTAACTCTTGGTAATTTGCTTTGCTGACCCAGCTGGGGTCCACGACCAGACTTGTGGCTACATCCCTCCCATGTAGCTCACCCTCCGTACCCAGTTTGATCCCGGACACGCAGTCTTCCGCTGGTAGCCCCAATGTCTCCCGTGAGCATTTTAAAGATGGTCGTCTTTCCAGCGCCGTTCACACCAAGCAGCCCGAAGCACTGGGTTGTGAGACAGAAAGGGAGGCATTTAGTCATGCTGCATTCAGGGCTAACGGATTGCTCTGAGGCAAGTGCTCCATGCAACGTGTGACTTCTCCTCTGGCCCCTGAGCACACATGAATTATGGAAAAGGCAAAGGCAGGCAAAGTGCATAGCAATAGCCGAAGGGAGGTTGTTTATTGGGTGGTATCTTGCCGCATGCATTAGAGTCCTCTGGTTAATATAGCAGGAAAGAATGGATGGGTCTGTAATACGATCATTCCTTTTATTTCGAGATGCACGTTCATATCCCGGGATCATCTTATTCTATAAATGCAGGCTCCTGCTGCTTCACGGACTAGATGAAAGCTACCTGGAGAGAGGTCTGCTTCAATCATACCCCCTGCAGCAGTGTAGACAGACTCACGGCAAGACAGTCACTGTACCCACACACCGGCGGACAGGGGAGGAAGCAAAGGTACAGAGGGAGAAAGAGTCAAATACACAAATGGCCGTTTGAAGTCTAATTCCCACTGACTTTCCTAGGGATTTGGGGACTATCTTCTGTGTATGCCTTTAAAAATTTCCTCCTCCCCCCCCCCGCCTGAGATCTGAGGCTAGATTTCCATAAGCCATCAGCTCCTATTTACCCAGCGTGCAAAGCCCTTCCTAAAATCTGGCTGTTGGTATCAAACTGGCATTGAAGCAATTCTGAAAAATCTTGCCTGGCCCAAGATCAAGCCGGTGGCAGGAACAGAATCCAGATCTCCTAGTCCTGTGTACTAGCCATTGGACCCCACTGCCTTGCCACCTGGCCATCCCCCTTTCCAAGCCCACTGCTCTCTGAATAGTCAAAGCGACATTTCCAATGGTAATTGTAAATTCAAGACAGACCAACAATGCTGAGTTTATACTCAGTCTTACCGCCCTGCCGGGGACAATATACTCTGGTGTATCCTAACTGAACTGGCTCTAATTTTCTCGTCACCGAAGTACAAAAGTCCTGACAAACTTGATCTTCCAGATGTCCTATAGAGGTTAGTTTAACAATGACAAATAAAGAATTGCCATTATTTACTGTACAATCCTAGCACTTAGAGGCACCAATGAATGATCAACACCATAGTGTGCTAAACACTTTATAAAACACGCGGTAAAAAGACAGGTCCTCCCTCTAGATTATCACGATGAGTAGTCCTGTGGCACCTTAGAAACTAACAAAAATATATAGAATCGCCATGAACTTTTGTGGGTAAAACTCACTTTATAAGATGAGTTGGAGCGGAAAAAACAGACACCGAGATATATATATGTAACAGCCAAAGAAGTATCTGTCAATTGTAGGACCTGTGGATAATGAGGCTAATTAAGTGGGCTTGAAGTTTCCCATTCATAGAGTTTAATGTGAAAATGTGGATGTTAAAGACAGAAGAAATTGACTTTGTAATGTGCCAACAAGCCCAGGGTACCAGTATCAAAGTTGTAGATGAATTCCAGTTCTGCGTAGTCTCTCTATATTGGCTGATGAAATTCTTTTGTAGAAGAATGGCTACTTTGAAATCCACAATTGAATGATCAGGCAAGTTAAATGTTACCCTCCAGGTTTATGCGAGTAACCATTTCTGTTGTCTGATTTGTGTCCATTTATCCTTTGGCCAATACACATGGCAGAGGGACATTGCAGGCACTTCATGGCATATATGAAGTGGACGTGCAGTTGTATGAGCCACTGATATTGCGGCTTATGTGGTTAGGTCCTGTGATGGTGTCACTTATATAGATGTGTGGACAGAGTAGGCAGAACATTTTAACCTGCCTGGTCACTCAATCATGGATTTAAAAGAAGCCATTCTGCTACAAAAGAATGTCACGAATCAATCAGGGTATGTCTACACTACAGCGCTAATTCGAACTAGCTTAATTCGAATTAGTTAATTTGAACTAAGCTAATTTGAACTAGTGCATCTAGACCTAAAAACTAGTTCGAATTAGCATTTTGCTAATTCGAATTAGCATTTCCACACTGAGTGGACCCTGAACTGAGGTTAAGGATGGCCAGAAGCGGTGCCAGCAGGGCATCAGATTAGGTCTTAGAGAGTGGAGCTGCTGTCTCAGGCTAGCCGAGGGCTGTGCTTAAAGGGGCCCAACCCCCACCCCGGACAGACAGTTCTCAGGGTTCCCCGCTCGCTTGTCTACCTCGATGAGGGACAGCAAAGCAGTCCTGGCTTGGAGTGCCCTGAGTGCCCGCACTCGGCACATCACAGCACTCGGCCATCAGCCCGGCTGCACTTGCCACAGGCTGCCATCCGGTGGGGATCAATCGGGGGGCTGCAGAAGAGCTTCCATCCCGAGGAGCCCACAGAGCCACCCCAGTCCTCCCCATTGGGGGCTCGTGCCCCATTCCTCCCTCACCTCCTTCCACTTACCACTCCCTAGCCCCCCTTCCTAATGTACAAAATAAAGGACATGTGTGTTCAAAAATAGAAACTCTCTTTATTTAACAAAACTGGGCGGGGGGGATTAACCTCTGGGGAGACTTGGAAAAGGAGGTGGGAGAGGGGAAGAGAGAAGGTGGGAGAGGGGAAGGGGAAACCTGGGAGGAGGGAGCTGGAAGGGGGAAGCCAGGGGAAGAAGGAGGAGGGGAAGTATCAAACTATGGTACGCCACATCTTCAGTACTGTGTACAGATGTGATCTCCTCACCCTAGAAAAGATGTTTTGGCCTTGGAAAAAAGGGCAACTAAAATGATCAGGGGTTTGGAACAGGTCCCATATGAAGAGCGGCTAAAGAGACTGGGACTTTTCAGTTTTGAAAAGAGGAGACTAAGGGGAGATACGATAGAGGTATATAAAATCATGAGTAGTGTGGAGAGGGTGAATAAAGAAAAGTTATTTATTAGTTCCCATAATAGAAGAACTAGAGGACACCAAATGAAATTAATGGGTAGCAGGTTTAAAACTAATAAAAGAAAGTTCTTCACACAGCGTGTAGTCAACCTGTGGAACTCCTTGCCAGAGGAGGCTGTGAAGGCTAGGACTATAATAGAGTTTAA